CTTCTGTCAGCCATGACCCTGCAGGAAAACTGTGAGTAGGTATGAAAAATGAATGGGCCCCCTTTCATCTGCAGTTTAGCATTCTAGCAAACAAGTGGACAAATGTCCGAGGTAAAGGTGTGTTGATTAACATTTAACACATTTTCTTTCATGGATACAGTTTGTTGCATTTTATATAAGCTTCCTTATAGCACTGTGCCATTAGTATTCAAAATACCCCTCAGTAATTACGTACTGCCAATCAAGTAATCAGACCACACCGCCACAGCATGAGACGTATGCCATGAGGAAATTATTAAACCCTCTTTACAAGTTTAACGGCAGCTCAGAAAAAGACGGCAGAGGGAGGAAAGAACATGAGGGAGACAGATACAATAAGGTCTTTGGCTGGATTTGAACTGGACATGGTGGTTCACGCAATCGACATCTTAACTCTACAGCTACAGAGCTGTGCTCAAAATTGAATTCAGAAGTTATATGCAGGCAATAAGCGCACATAAAGTGGGTGTGGGCCAAGTGCAGATGTAACTAGAATTATTGTTTCACAGTTGTTTGCATCGGCCAACTGTCAAATGGCAGTTTTCTCTCATGTTGGTCCAGACTAATATTTTATATATGGAGTGAAGAAGGAAATAGATCAGAGCTATCAATTATTTTGTATATTTTTGTTTCCTTACTAAGGAAATAGATTGTTGAGTTATGGATAAAAAAATGTTACAAGGTCACAGTGACCTTGACTTTTGACCTGTGATCATAAAATTGTAATTAATTCATCTTTGAATCAAATCGAAGTTTTCAGTAAAATAATAAAAAAAAGAGATCACATTAAAGTGTTCCTGAGAAATCACGTTCACAAGAGTTGGACAGACGGACAACCAAGCTTTTATACTTTAATTTGGCAAATGGATTGGATTACACTTTAATGGACTGAAGCCTCATTCTGACCAGATAAACATCACGCAGGAAATGATGAGATACTCTATATTAAAACTCATAGTGTTGGAAAGCATTCTAAGCATCTGCTATAAGGTCTGCAAAAAATGTAGATGTTCGACAGGACAGAGCCAAAAGCCTCCCTAGTGGAGCGTGGGAGAGTTGAAGGCGAGGCAAAGAGTGCGTGAGGTGAATTCACCTCAAAAATCAAACTCCTTGGAGTCATAACTGAGTCAGATCTTCACACCCACATATAAAACACATACTGCTATCATTCAGGGCGAGTTATATCCTGTCCCGAGGATATCAAAGTATCAATTGATGCCCATTGTCAATAAACATTCCTAAATATGCCAAGAAATCATAGAAAAAGAGTTTTTTTGGTATCAAAGTAATCCAGTTTTAGTCTAGTGATAACCTGACAAGATTCAAATTTCACACTGAGATCAAAAACCACCAGTTCATGCAGAAAAAAACTGTGAGATCCACCTTAAAATCCATAGATGAAGCACTGAACAGGGCTGAAATAAAAGCAGGAGCCAATGAATCAAACCTTAATGTGGTTTAAGTCTGAGGGGGGAAGGGTTCCAGGTTGAACACATTAATTAGCTAACTGGCATATTCATTCTTCATATGCATATTTAGCAGTTGATATGTGTTATTCATTCAGTTATTGATCTAGCCATCTGAGAACCTAAGTTTCTCTTGAGGGCCTTCTCCTGCCCATCCGAGCAGCTCTCTGTAGTCAGGCTGTGGCTGTACATATGGACATGGTTACAGAAATGTGGTCATGTAGCAATTTGACACCGATTGCAATTAATGGAACATAAATATTACACATATTACACCCTGTACTGCACAGTACATGAGATACATTTTCACTGCAAGAATTGTTTTACCATTAGTCACCTGTGTTAAAAGGGGTTTCTGTGAGACAGGAAAATGTCACACAGCAAAATATTGAAAGTGACCAACATACAGACACTTTCTTCTGCTACTAAGTATACAAGCTTACAACCGATAATTCCACAAATGTCTGTCTGTCTGTATGTGCAACTCGTATCTACACAACTGTTCATCTTATCGGCTTCACACACGCATGTGCATTTTCAAGGGCTCAGGGAAAGTGCAGTGTCGAATTTGGTGCAATTTGGAGATTTGATATGTTCTATATTTATAAAGAGTGAATAAGCAGGCTACCAGCACTCTGTAGTAGTCAGTGGGGTGGGAGTGAGTGATAACAGTCAGTCTTCTATGTCTTCGGACAAGCTCAACAGCGTTTGGAAACTGGGTCCAGCAGCAGGTCAAAATTGCAGACAGATTACTTTGCTAATTTGCCTGTTTCTATTTCATATCAGACAACACAGACATTCATGGGTGTCGTGGAAACTGATCTCTGTGATGGCAACAACATCCATAGAAATATTTTTCACCAGCCGCCACTGGGGTTAAGGTTATGTGAATGAGTGTCCTCACTAAGATAGAAGTACAAATGTGTGTGTGTGTCGTAGTGAAAGCATGAAAACTGCAGCTGAATATTTTAGCTTTTATTGTAGAAAGTTTGGAACTTGGGTCTGAAGATTGTTTGCCATGCTTTTTAAATAGCTGACATGCAATAAATGAAGATATAATGCAAGTTAAGTAAATCATTCAAACTTATATATAAACCACACATGCAGTAATAAAGCAAAATCAAATTCATTTTATGAAAAACATCGCCTATAAAATCTTCATTGCAGATAAACCAGGTAGGAGGAGTGCAAACTCTTACAAACTTACAGTTTTCACCATAGACTGTTTATAAAAAGCTCTGCACGCAATGTCCAGCACACAAACAATAATAAGTATATTGTAGAACTGTTTGAGGGGGACTCACCAATGACTGAGGAATAATTCCGAAGTAGCTCCAGAGCAGAAACCTAGACAGGAGAACAGGCAGGTTTAGAACGGGTACTGCACTAGTTTTCAGAAAACTGATGCTTTATTTGAGAATCAGGGTACAATTGGAATACTGTGCAGTTTAATGCGTGTGAATTTCATTCATCATCTTTTGTGTTTTCCCTGCTCACCACTTTCATATTTTTCTCAACAAACTAATGGAAATCAAACAAAAAGTGTTCAATGATCAAAAGGTGGTAATGCAAGAGTGGGTTAAGTGATCTGATCTTGAATCCAACAGGAATATAATGAGTCTGTCCGTCGTCTACCTCAGAGAAAAAGTTAGTGAATGTAAAACAAAGGGCTGTACTGTAAGGAGCAGTGAGGCTGAAGGTATGACTGGTGAAAGTTTTGAGCGGGTAGTGTTTAAGTTTCTGTCCATGACTGCATCCTGCCCATCTGGCTCCAGTAGAACTGTCACACTGTAGAGACCAGGAGTGTTTCTCTCTGTCTGCCACTTCTCTGTGTGTGTTCGTAGATTGGCTGTTTAATCCTCTCTAAGCCTGCCAGGTATATGTCATATCTGCATAGTATTAAAATATGGGTTATCCGGATTAGAAGAACAGTGGTCTCTCATAACAATTGGACTTATCGTTCCCTTTATCACTTTCTCTTCTAATTCTGTACATATACTTTTGAGGTTGACAGTGAGTAGCTCCTCTTAACAGGCAGCTGAATCTTCCTTTCTCTGGAGTGCAGGACTATTGCAATGCATAGGTTTTTTCTATGTTCAGCACTTTTTAAACAATTTTTTTCCAACATGTATATCCTATCATTCTTTTCATCATAAACTCACACATCGTTTTTTCAAGAATAAAGCTGCCACAGAGTCAAACAATCTGGAGACTGGTGCCTGTAAAACTGTGATGTAAAACATTCTCTTTATTTTTGTTCTTTATTTCAAATTGTTTCTGACTTTTTACACACAAATAGGACACCAAATTGTGAAATTGTAATACAGACCATTAACATTCAATTTCATTGAAAGTGTATTAATGCCATTGTTAAATATTAAAAATAATTATTTATTTAAATGTTTGATTTTTTTTCCAAATGTGACAAAATACGTTAAGGACCCACATTGCCTCTTTCAACAGGGCTTCTTACTTCGTCTCTCGTGCTGTTCAATGTTTGTAGTTTTTTCTACAACCAAACAACTGAGTACAAAGTAGACAATCAGCTTCCTGTTTACACTGACATGCACATTCCCAGTGTACATGAATTATCATATATGTGTTTTCATGTGTTAGTATAAAGAGATTTGTACTCATACAGAGCTAAAACACTCTCTGGATGGAGACCGTTGTAATTTTATCAAGCGGTAAAGTAAAATGTACGAGATGTAGTGTGATGTTTGTCAGCTGTTTGGCTAATGAGAGGGATTTTATGTTGAAAATCATTCACAGCTGTCGTAATGAACCACAACAGAAAGGTCAGATCTAAATAATGAAGCTTTGTAGAGTCGGGGGGAGTTGCAGGTTTAGTTAATAATTCTCTACAGGATCGTTACGATCACAGACCTCTTTTACAGTTTTCATACTATCACTTGATCCACTGTTAAAAATACTAAATGTTGCTACTAATTTTATTTCTAATAAATATATCGGTGAAGTTGCACACAGCTGCTTGACAGCAAACACAAGAGCAAACTGGATGTTGGCCAACCCAATGCAAAAATACAAAGCCACCAAATCAGATAGGTTGGACTGCACTCACTGCATGCTTTACCAGAATTTTAGCTTTGCTCCTTATTAAATTCACCCTCACTCTAACAAATGATCAGGATTAATAGACTTAATGTTGGGACCACCAGATGATAAATCAGAGTTTCTGTGAGTTACTATATTTTTAAACTGGCAGCTCTCTCTGGCTGATGTAGATGATATCTACATCATTAACTTTCCTCCCATTAAAAAGAAAAGATTTCCCCACAGATGAAACAATCAGATTAAATATTTAGCTGACTTGTGTTATTCAGACAAAAAACTGCCTAAATCAGGTCATCGAGTTTATCGAGGGTCTCTGTATGTGATGATTGCTGGGTGAGAACACAACATTAACCATTATCCTCCTTCAGTATTTGTTGTGGTGTTGACTGTCCTTCCTCTGTGTCTCTGTCTGTCTTCCAGTTTGGTCGGACTGAGGTGATCGATAACACGCTGAACCCAGACTTCGTGAGGAAGTTTGTCCTTGATTTCTTCTTCGAAGAGAAACAGAACCTTCGCTTTGATGTGTAAGTAGGAACATCTCCGCCTTTTCCCTCCGCAGTACACCACTGTCTCATTGTTGATGACTTCAATCAAGCCTCCACCTACTATTGCCTGCAGACTCACACCCACCAGGCTTATAGTCCTCCAGTCAATACTGATTATAATGAAAGCATTTTGACTGGATGAGTCTCATCAAAGTGTTGGATATCAAATTTTTCCTCGTCTCTTTGCAACACTGTAGAACTCCAAAAGCCAAAATACGTTGTAAAATACAGAAAATAATGTCAATGCTGGCTCCCTAAACATCATGGGGAGACTGTGGCTCAAGAAGTAGAACAGAAGGCTGGTGGTTTGATGCCCGGATCCTCCAGTCTGCTTTCTGAAGTGTCCTTGGACTAGATACTGAATCAGAAATAACCACTGATGGCTGTGCTGGCAGTGTATGAATGTTGTGTAATCGTAAAACTGCTGCGTGTTGAAGCGTTGTATGAATGTGTGTGGACGAGTGAATGTGACTTGTACTTGCAAGCGTTTTAAAATGAAAAAATGAAGCCTATTTACCTGTAAATTCACTTAGTTACCTTTTCACATATCTGTTTGAATGAAATATGAAGTATATTTTTCACACTCTGTTAGAGATTATTTCAGACATTACAGCACAATCATTCATGGGACCAAGTATTTCTCACAGTTTGGTGTCTCTAGAAATGTATTCAGGTCAGAAAATGCAGTCCTCATTCTCTCCTTAAGATATTTGGCCTAAATATCAGAAAATGAAGACTGTTGTTTATCATGGGTCACACTTTAAATTCAATTTCTGACAAAAATCCCTTTCACCTAAATCATACACTCTGTACCTTTAAGCAGCCCTTTACCGCAGATTAAGACCGGGCTAAAGCTGTTACGAAATCTATTGGGGTGTTTATTGCTGCAGGTCATGAGGTCATGCTCTCTTGTGAAAAAAAAGTTTTAAATATGGTAAAATTCCTGGAGCCACCCTTAAAAATCCCCCCGCGCACCTTCTTCATTACGAAGATCATGCCAGATATTTAAAAACAGGAAAAGATAACAATTGCAAATGAATTATCTAAGGAATCTTCTGTTGCCCTCACCAAAGATGGATGGACCTCCAGGGCAACGGAAAGCTATGTGACTGTGACAGCTCACGAGCAGCAGAGCAGGAGATGTAAAGTCCAGTGCTACAGACACGTCCCCTCTATGAGTCACACAGGCACAAATCTGGTGCAGGTACTGATAGGAGCAGTATGGAAGCTGGAGAGGCCCTATAGTAATATCCTGGTCACAACAGATAATACTAAGAACCAAGTAAATGCTGTGATAGAAATGGGACTGGAGCCACAGATAGCTTGGTTTGCTCATGTGATTAATTTTGCATCCCAGGGAATCTCTGTGAACCAAATGGGAGGATCAGGAAAGTGGTTTCCTTTTTCAAAGGAAAATCAATCATCAAAGCACAACGGCCGCTCATGTGCTTAAGAACAAGCAAGAAATGCTATAGCTACAGACCCACAAGCTTATACACAATGTCACAACAAGATGGAACTCCACCTATGGCATGCTGGAGCGCTATCTTGAGCAGCAGGCAGCTGTATACACTGCAGTAACAGACAAGACTCTGAAAAAAAATCGTCACCTTGTCTGATGGTGACGTGGAAGTGGCAGAGGAGGTCCTCCAGGTACTCAAACCCCTTAAAACAGCTACAACCCTAATGAACCCCGGACACAGCGACCCCCCCTTATCTTCAGGACTACCTTCATAGATCTACTATGCTGGATCCAAGGATCCAAGGTTCAAGTCCCTGTCACCTAGACTCTGAGCTACGCCAGAGGACAATGATCTTACCACTGAGATTGTGGCCACTGAACAATTGTGAACAGTTAATTGATTTACTTAAAAAATTAATAATACATATACTGCAGTCTAGTCTTAGTCTATGCAATTTCCACAAGAAAAAAAAATAGATTTTGAATATTAATGGATTTTATTAAATATGATTGCCATCATTATAGCTCTATGAAATATGAAACTAAATAATTAGTTAGTTTAATACATCCAGTCATTTCCTCTGCACGGTCAAGCCACAGAGCCGACATGGACAGACTCAGAGGCATCTCCTTCACAAAAGAAGTCAGCCATGTAGGAGCTTTCTGAGACACAGGCAAGGTGGAAAAGCAATAAGTGTAAATACCCTCATATTACAGTTTTTCTCAATTGCTAAAACACTAATTCCTGTTATGTGAATCAATTGCTCAGTTGTCTAAACTCATTCAATGAATTGAGCATCATTTTGACAAAACCATAAACTATCTTCACCTAGTAAAACACTATCTGCAGATCTCTGTCCTTCCTTTTTCAAAACTCTCAACACATTCTCATGCAATAAAACACAGTTGTCACTGTGATGTACTTGTGATGCATAATGGTAAAAACTGGTAGCAAAATATGAACACAAATGAAACACGTGTCATCCATTGAACACAACGATTCAAAATTGATCACACTTGTTTCTCATCATGTCATGACAACATGACAACCAATATAAGTTCAGAGTGCATCAGGTTGGTCCTGCAAGCTCATGACAACAATGGATCAGAGACACAGAGGGCGAGTGCATGGAACATGGGTAAAAGTCCCTTTCTCTACACTTGGAAGTTCTTGGAAGTTATTTAGCTATTGTTCAAAGTAAGAAAGTGTCATGTTTGTATTGCACTATAATTCAAGAATTGAATATTTTTCTTTTAATATTTTATTTATCTTGAATGTTGTTCTCATCTAAGACCATGGGTCCTTGCTTTAAAGTTCTTTAAGTAATAAATGGAAAGCAACTTTATATTTGTATCCCTTTTTTTTGTGGATCCAAAAAATTATGCATTCCTTGACTTAAAAACCCTGATACGATCTTTATTGAGAGTTTTTTTGATCTGTTGCACCCCTAGCTCAAACCAAAAGGCCTAACAGTTCCCTTAAATTCAACCCTTCCACACCAACCATGCACTGGTCGCTTACATTTTTTTGGGACATTGAACATAACCTGTCTCCCAATTGCAACAAACTCTGCACTGCGAATCCCTGGGACAAACTTTATAATCTTTGTTTATTTTTTCATGTGCATAAAAACACCTGGATTGAAATACCTACTGATTTAGTTGTACTGAACATATCAAAAGATAATGAAAGCAGATGTCCATTCTTATCTTTTTGTTTGAATCTATATTGTTCATCTTTTGTTTGGTTCAAAAATATATCAACATGTTTCAGAGTATTTACAGGAGACTTAACATTGTGAATCTGAAACAATGTGCATACAGAATTTGCACAGCTTCTCTGTAGTTACTGATCTGTCTCAAACGTGAAGTGAAGTCTAAAAAAGGAGACTGCAGGTAGACACATGCAAACAGGAGAGAAACCTCGACTTTCACCTTCATTCTCTCCACTCTGGGGATCGATGATCCCACAGGGGGTTAAAAAAGAAGACACAGTGTGGGTCAGGTACAGGAAGAGGTCAGAGAGACCTCTGACTATCACTGTGTGGTTATTACCAGTGAAAATCAACAACACCATGGCATTGATTGAACCAATCCCAATCCTCAGTCAATACCTGCAGAAGCTGCCGTCTGAACTGATATGTCAATTAGCAGGCTGCACATTGGATGTGTGTGTAGAATGTGATGGAGTGAAATCAAAAGATTGTTAACTGGGGTGTATAATATATGTTCTTTAGCAAATAATCAGTTATACAAAAAAAACTTCCTCTTGAAAATGAACTACTTCAATTTGATACAATACATTATACATGGAGTAAATATCAGTCCATTTATCAAGCTAAAAATGTCAACAATAGCAATTCTGCAGCTTATTGAACAGAGTCATAGCCTTATTAAAAAGAAGGTGAAGAAAACCCAATTGCTGCTTTTTGTCAGTGAGAGAGTTATGACACAAATTAGCTTAGCAAATCTGTCTATCCAACCTGTTTCATCAGAATTCAGTTACTTGCACATCTGCCCCCAGAAAAGGTTTCACATTCATACTGTTAAGAGTCGTCTGTAGTGATTGCCTGGATTTCAGCCCCGATGTAGTTGGATTGTCACATCTCTGCATTCATTTATGATATAATTGATAGAGAGAGAGATTCTTTATTGTAACTGTGCATTCATACGTAACAAAATTTCATTTGGCAGCAGTCCACTTAGTCCACTCTTGAAATAAGAGAATCAAATAAATCAAATGTTTAAAAACAGTGAAATATGACAGAGACTACAATATACAAATAAGATATAGTAGCAGCAGTTAAAATCAGAATCAGAATTCCTTTATTGTCCCAAGATTGGGAAATTAACAGCATTGCAACAGCAAGATAATGAATATAAAGTAAAGACAAGTTAAACAAGATAAATTACTGTATACAAATTGCACTTAAATTTCTGACATTGGTTGTACATGATGAGGTTCTGTGTGTGTGTATGTGTGTGCGTGTGTGAGTGAGAGAGAGAGAGAAAGAAAGAGAGAGAGGGAGTGTGTATGGTGGTCTACTGGGTGCAGTGCTTGTTGTACAGTCTCACAGCAGCAGGGAGGAAGGACTTCCTGAATCTCTCCTTCACACACTTGGAGTGAAGGAGTCTGTCACTGAAGGAGCTGCTCAGTGTTGTTAAAACATTGTTCTGTGGGATGGGGTGGGGTGGGGGATTTGATTTCAGCAGAAATGTCCACAGCCCAAAATGGTTCCTCAGCTGGTTTGTCCAGAAACGTGTGACCCTGAGTCTGCCTGAGGGGAGGGTGGCGATCAAATGGGAAGTGAGGTGTGAGGTGCTCGGGAGATGGCATCATCCGTGGATGTATTGGGGCTGCATGCAAACTGATGTTGGTCAACATTCAACCCACGCAACGTTTTTCATGTAGAATAAATCTGTGGTGTTGTTCGTGCTGTTGATCAATAAAAACCCGTCATGATGTAGCTGACCCATGAATTCACTTACAGAGGAAACCATTGTGGCTGGCTCGCAC